GACAAAAACATAACTATGTTCAAAAAGGATCACTATTTTTTCCTCCTTTGACCAGATGTATCTGGAGAAACAGCAAGTTGTAATTCCATAATTTAAATAAGCCTCAAAAACTTATTAGTTGTGTGACCCTGGGCAAGTCACTTAAACTTTGTTTCTTCACTTTCCTCATCTGTAAAATGCAGATAATAGCACCTACCTCCCATTGTTGTTGTGAGGATCAAATGAAATAATAATTGTAAAACACTTAGCACCTCCAACTGCTATACAGATGTTAGTTATTATTATTATTATATTAAATACTCTCTACCACCCAAGTTCAAACCATTAGGAGTTCATAAACAACCATTTTTTTTTTATTCATAGATTATCATAGGCCACCATAGACCACACCAGTTAGTGATGCTAGGGTAGTAGTTGTGTCAAGGTGGGGTCCAGGGGCAGCTGAGGGAACTATGTCAACTACTCCTGGTGCAATCTCGAAGTGTGATCTAGCATGGATTGCATCAAGTGCTTTGACACTGAGGTTGTACCTTGTTTAATTGATGCCAAGTCTTGTGTCAAGCTTTTGTAAATTGTTTTGGGTGGCTTTGAACACATTATATAGATTGTACCCTCTTTACCAAACTTTCCCATAGCCTCCCCTAGTTTCGAAACCATGTGCTCTATTTTAAGGACTGAGTTGGTTAAGGTACCAATGGTGGCTTCAACAGTGGAGAGACACATTTGAATTTCTGTTAACGGGTTGTGAACGTCACATTCTCCAATGGCAGCAAGCTCAGTGATTGAACATTTTTGCATCCTGATCAGTGCAAGATTCCAAACAAGTGCTGGCACATCAACTTCTGCCTAGGCCATCAGTGCATCCTCTACTCTCTAGGGCTCAGGTCCAGGAGGCAGTGCATCCAAGCTTTCTCCTATTGTGGGCAAACTCCCCCATTCTTCTCCTCCTCTTTCCTTTCAAAACCCTTTTGGCTAGTCTGCTAACTGGTTAAGTCAGAGGTCTCATCTCTTCATCACCTGGTGGGATCTCAAGCATTGCCATCTTTAATGGTTAAACAATGGCAAAGTTCAATCAAGGCAAGTATGGTGTCTACTCTTCTGTCCATCTATGGTTTTCCTAACAACTGTGATTGGTTCCTAACCGTACTTTTTTTAAATGGTTTTTGAACTAACACTATTACTTATCAACTCTATTCCAGAACATGACAGGGATTCTTAACCTGGGATCCATGAAGAGACTTCAGGGGGTCCATGAACTTGGATGGGGAAAAAAAAAATTACATCTTTACTTCATATAATTGGTTTCCTCTGTGACACTACATATTTTATGTATTTAAAAACATCATTCTGAGAATAATATCTGACAATAATAGTTCACTTAAATAGCAGTTTAAGGTACACAAATCGCTTTGCAAATATCATCTCGTTTTCATCCCCTAACAACTATTTACAGATGAGGAAACTGAGAAACAGAAAGGCTAAGTGACTTGCCCAGGGTCATAAAGCTAGTAAGTGCTGGAGGGAGGTTTACTTTATCCATTCCATCAGCTAGTTTACACACACACACACCCCCCCCCACACACACACCCCCCACACACACACCTTTAACCCCTTGCTTTACGATCAAGAAATAAAGGCAGTGTGATGCAGTAAAAGGGACATTAACTAGGAGCCAGGAGACTCAAATTAAAGTTCCAGCATTTTCACCTACAAGCTATATAAACTTCCTGGGTCTCACTTTTCTTATCAAAAAAACAAAAGATCGTCCTAAATTCTAGAATCCTATGTCTAAAATAGGAATTTCTAACCTTTTTTGTATCAGATTCCTTTAGAAGTCAGCTGAAGCCTATGGAATCCTGCTTAGGATAATGTGCCTGGCACATGCTAGGTGCTTAATAATTGTTTACTGATTTTTAAAAACCTAAAATAAAATACATATGATTACAAAGGAAACAGATCATGTTGAAACAGCTATCAAAATATTAAAAAATAAAAGTTTGCTCCCAGGTTAAGAACCTTTGTCTAAAATGTTATAAAATACAGATTAATATACAATTAAGCTATTTTTTCCCATTTCCTCATAAATGAAACAGAATTCAGACGTAGTACACAACAAGGCAAAATAGTATAAAGTACCTCAAGTTATGAGTACCTGACTTGTAAACATCCTGTACACAGATCTGGCTGAGCTGTATACTCTCACCAGGTAAGGAGGCTTGGGCTGGGCCTATTGTTGGCCAATCAATAAGAGCCACAGTGATTTGGGTTTAAGGCATGGTCCATAAAAAAGAATCTAGCCCATAAAGCCCAAGATATCATGCCAGGTTTCAGCAATCAAAATTTACATTCCTTTAGGCAGAGGACCCACAGGTAGGGGTATGATTCCCTATGTGGACAGAGGGAGAAGAGGGAGGAAGGAAGGGAGGGAGGGAGGGAGGAAGGAGTTGCACTGCCCAACTGGAACTGGCCAGTTGGGTACCCAGTAGGGCAGCTCCTCACAGGTTGTTTGTTCTTTGCTCTGGAGGAGGATCATGACATCAGGAAGCAGTTGTCATGACTTGCAACTGAACTGGATTTAGGTGAGGCAGGGATGTGCAAAGTCACCAGCCTCACTCTCTCCTCCGGAGCATCTGGGTCCAGTGGAAAGATACAGCTCAGGACTACAGGAGATGGCCCCGGATAGAGTGGGAGGCCTTGCCCTTTCCAAGCTAAGGTCTTTCCCAGGTCTTAGTTTATCTGAGGCAAAGCCCATTCAGTGATTAAAGTTAGGTGGGTAAAAACAAAACAAACAAACAAAAAAAAAAAGGCAAAGAATGGCCCTTTTTACCTAGTCAAAAGTAAAGAAAAAATCAATCTGGGAGGGAAAAACTCTCAGGGTTTCTGGCCAAAACAGAAACAATTGCTATTTTTGCACTTACTCAGAGCCATCAGAATCCAAACAATAACCAAGTGGGGCTTGGGGCTGCATTGTTGGCCAATGAATGAGAGTCAAGGTGATTTGGGTTTAAGGTCTAGTCCATAAAAAAGAAAACTAGCCCTTAAACCCCAAGGTATCTGGCTAGGTTTCAAATGGGGGGTGGGGTGGGGAGGGAAGGTGAGTGGGAGGGGAGAAAGAGATGAGGGAGGGAGGGAGGGGAAGAGAAAGGGATAGAGAGAGGGAGGAAGAAGGAGATGAGGGGAGAGATAGGAAGAGAGGAAAAGGAGAATGTGGAGTTCATAAAAAAAAGCAGCGTAAAAGGAGACTAAGGTCAGGTCATGAGGGGCTTTAAATGCTGAAGAGGGCAATCTGCCTTTGCTCCTAGAGACTTGTTAGTCAGACCTGAGCTTTAGGAAAAATGCCTCAGCAGCCAAGTGAGGGGAATGGGGCTGAGGGGGGCTGGGCCTGGGTCGCAACAGCCTTGGTCGAGAATGGTTCCCAAATCTCGGGGCATCAAAGACCAGGAGCCTCCCCCGCGGCAGACGAGGAAGTACAGTCGGTCAGTCAACAAACAAAGCTCAATCAACAAGCACAGATTAAGCGCTTGCTCGGACCCCGGCCCGGGGCCAAGTGCTGGGCGCACAGCAAAGGCGAAGAGCACGATTCCTGCCCTCAAGGAGCTCCCATTCGAAAGAGGTGCCGTGCGAACACCTCTGTGCCCTCCTGAGCTCCCCTGAGCCGCCCCTCCCAGCCCTCCCCCTCCGCAATGGCGGACCCCGGGCCGAGCGGACAATTTCCGCCCCCAGACCCCGACCCTCCCCCCCCCCGACTCGCCCCTCAGAGCCGAGAAAATACTCACTTTAACCGCCACCTCCGGCGCCGCGTCCACGGTCCCCACCAGGGAGAGATTGGCCGAAGGGGTCTTCGTTAGATGGATAAGGGAGTCGGCGGCGGGCAGGGAACAGCGTCCAGTGTCGTTGTCGGAGTCGGACTCGGACCCCGAGCCCGAGCCGTAGGAAGCTGCCAGGGCAGCGATGGCAGCCGACATGACTACGGCTTCAACTCTCCCGGGGCAGCTCAGGCCTTGGCGGAAGAAAGAGCCGCGATCGGAAGGGTCCTAAAAACCTTTGGTCGCCCTCCAACCTCCTCAAAACCCGAATCTAAGCCAGTTCCAGGAGTTTATATTACTGGTTATTTAATATTTGATCTATTTATAAAATACAAGGATCTTAAATTCAATCACTTAATGGGCGAAAGAAAAGAAACCTGGGTTTCTTTTTATACCTTCCAGGACCTTACCGGCTTAATTAAAAGACTACGAGTTCAGACAAGTGAGCTAAATACCAGTTCACCATGCGGCGTCGAGTGAACAAAGCACCACGGGAGTTGTAGTCTTTCTTGGGGAATTTTTGACACCGCCCCTCAGTGGCTGGTTTCATTCAATTGGCTATTGCCTTACCTTATTCCCTAGCCCATCCTCAGTTCTTTCTGGCCCCCTCCCCCAAACCGAGGATTGGGTTATACCACGCAGTCTCTAGAAAAGGGGGTGGGGAAGCACGGCTTTCGTGCCATTTGGGTGTGTTGGGGGCTGGGTTTCCAGCATCCTCAAAGGGTTCACCTGGGTACTGGAGCCCGAGGAGGAAATGGAGGGTCTTTTCACCCGACCCCCCCACCGGGGGATAAACTCCCTAGTGGGAGGTTAGGGAGAGGAACTTGGAGTGGGGAAGGAGAGGGAGCATTGTTAGCCCCCCTATTTCACGCTCCCTTTTCTTTCTCCCGTTAGTGGAACTCCGCGCGCTCTAGTTAGGGGGGCGGGGTAGGGGGAGGGGGGAGGCTGGCAGTGTTGTTCGCTCGTGCTTCTTGCACCCGGTTATTCCTGAAAGAGCCGGAGCTAGAACTGTTGCAGGTTAAACGAAGCAAGGGGTGGGCCGGGTCGGGTCCGGTCCGGCTGGGTCGCTTGGAACAGGAATCCAAGGGGCCACCCCCCCACCCACACCACGAGCCCCTACCCAGGGCCTTCGGAGGAATTGGCTGCAGAAGGAGTAGCAAGCAGCATCAGCCGGCATGAAGGGGGTGTAAGACAAGAGCTTCCCCCCGCCCCCTCGGTTTTACGGTGAGTGAGTGTGTGTGTGTGTGTGTGTGTGTGTGTGTGTGTGTGTGTGTGTTGCCTATCCTTCCACGCCCCCGGAAAAACTGCATGGCTCAGTGTTGTAGCGCCCTCCCTCCGCCCGGTTGCCTATTCCCTTCTAGCTATCCCCCCCCATTCCTTCGGGTTCCTTTCCCCCGCGCCGCCCACCCCTGCGCAGCTGGTTGCTGAGCGAGCGAGCTAGGCGTTTGTGCCTGTCTTGTGGTTGGTTGCTGGAATCGCCCTGTGGTGGCGGCGGCTGGAGGGAGGTTGGGAGGGCGCGGGTGCAGGTCCCACCTGAGGTGTCATTGCTGCTTCTCGGACCTTCCTCCGTCTGTCACACCTTCTAGCTTTTGGCGAAGGCTCTACTTTAGGGGTCGTGCATTAACCCTCGTTCCTCGTTTGACTGTGAGTCTCCTTAAAAAGCAAGCGTGCGTGTGTGTGTGTGTGTATGGTGTGTGTGTGTGTGTACACGCTCGTGTTTGTGTCCAGTTGCTTTGCTCATTGCCTTTATCCCCTTCATTTGAGGGGGAGGAGAAGTGGCGGCAGGGGCGGTAGTGCAACAACCTTCTCTGTTGCTTCTGTCGTCTCTGTCACCTTGTATCTGCAAATGGGGTTCTGGCGAAGGCTTAAGAGGGGGAGAAGCTCCCTTTCTTGGGAAAACTCTCTCATTGCCCTACCTAGACAAATAATTCAGCTAAGAAGAATTAAGTGCTCCTGTCTTATTATTCTATATCCTTCTCCCTCCTCGTGGTACAAAATGCTCCCTGGTTTGAGGAATCTCACGACTCTTGCACTTACTGCTTTGCCAACAGAGCATGGCTTGAAAACGATGCAGATCCAAACAAATTCGACTTGTCTTTTAACCAATTCACACATTCTTTCCTATGTAACGTATTGTATTTGATGCGATTGAGCTTAATTCATTTGCTACATAAGATCTGCGTTGTGAGTTGTATTTTAATGCTCCCTTTGGTGAGATGGCATGCGAGTTTTCATTGGCGTCAATAATTGCTTCTTTAAAACGTCTAATTGTCTTAAACATACTTGCATATTATGTTTCTAATTGTTGATAGCATAGTGTTTAACAAGATCGAGTCATTTTTTAATGAGAATGCAGTCTTTGAATTAAGATACAAATTTTTTCGCGGGGGGGGAGTGATTTCCAACGTAGTGTGAATAAAACACCTGCAATGTAAATTTCTCAAATTGCTATAAAGGAAAATTTGTTATTTTCCATTTTAAGAACTTTGCTTAATTTTTAGTAATTGAATGTTCACGGTAGCTAATAATTTCAGCCTTCCTTGAAATTCTATTTTTTGAAAGAAAAGGAGGATTAAGAAAGGATTGTCATGCTGTATTATTTCATACTTATTTAAAATTTTATTTTGGTTGTAATCATTCTCTTTTATTATATAGAATTTTCTCATTTTTTTCTTCTATCTGTTCACTGTTAAAGATACATTTAAAAGATGTGAACGTTTAAAGGATATCTCTAAAAGATGAAATACTTTTTCAAAGTCCAAGAAACACATTTTAGTCATTATCGTTGATGATGTCTTAATCATTGTGAGAATCAATTCTATATATCTCTGACTTTTAAAGAAAAAGGTACCAAAACTAAGTACTTTGTTGTGTGATTGCAGCTCCTCCTGAGCTCTTTTGTGTGCCTAGGGATTAGGTTTATTATTAACACTTTTGACTAAACTGAATTGAGTATAGATAGGCATTGTCAATTGATACTGAGATACATACAGTAACTGTTTCATAATAGAGGGAGTACATGCAATAGCAAGATAAAGAGTTGTGGTATCTGAGGGAATGTGATGTTAGGGAGCTTGCTGTAGGAGATGGTATATTATGAGTTATAAGTCTGGGAGATTTATATGGATCTCTCTGTGCTTCGATTTCCTGTGCAAAATGGGGTTAATACCTATTTCATAAGAATCTTATAAGTCATAAATATGATATTGTTGTTTTTAAAGTATTTTAAAGATTTCAGGTTGAATAGGAATGCAAAGTGCTTCAATACATAGAAAATGAAAGAATTCAATTAGACTTTATCATGATGACTGATTAATTCTGTACTTTGTGTTGGGAAGGTAAAGCTCTCATGAGAAAAATATTTTTCATCTGACTTAAAATTCATTATTCTAGTGCTGAACATATATTTTTAAAAATCCTTTAAATCTAAGGGAATGCTTAAAGACCCTTGGATAAAGTATGCATAAAAGCTTTATTTCAGTTCAGTGAAGTGCCTACAGAAAATACAAGACCTTTCCCCTGCCCTTCAGAAACTAGCAGGTGAGAGATAACATATAAAGAGGACCCCTCAGTTGAAAGGTGGGATAGTTACTTTGTTTATTATTGAAGCTTAGGGATTAGTCATTGTGTTCAGGGGCATAATGTATTTCTGTTGATCAAAACTATATTTAACCATGCATCTTGTTTTAAAGTGGGGGTAATTTGAAATAGCCTGTTGTTTGAATTCTTTACAACCTGATAGCTTGTATCTCATTATTTCCTATTTAGGAAGTTTGACCTGTTTAGATTAAACAATAACTTTGTTGCTATTTCACATTTAAAAAAACTAGAAGAATTTTCATATTTAGTGGTGTCAGTAGGAAGTATTATACTTTTTGGATTATGTGAATGACTTGGTTATGTGGATGCCCAAATTCTTAGACTATTAAAGGTTGTTTTGAAATAGTTATGGGTTTTTTAATTGTTTATTTCATTGTGAATTCATTTGACTATTGTTGAAATTATTCAGTAAAAGAATTACAAATAAAAGTAAGCCATATTGTTAATTAAAGAGAGGACAAATCAAATTAAACAGTCACTGTATGATTTCTGTAACGAACTGTATCTAGAGGAAATATATCCATTGCATCAAAAAAGAATTAATAGACATTTTAAATAAAGCAAATGAAATGGATTTACTTTTACATAAATCTATTTAAATCCTAAGGGTTAAATCATGACCTACAACATAGAGCTTTATCTAGAATCTGTATTTTTAAAAACTGAATTAGCCATTCAGATGTAGTTCAGAACTTTTACATTCCATTTTCTTAGTCTGTCAGGTAATGAATGTATTATAAATTAGCATCATTTTGCCTTTGAAATTATGTTTTAAATTTTTCTCAAATGCTTTGTTCACAAATCTCAAGTCTTTCTTATCCTTTTTAATGAAAAAATACAGATTTAAAAATGATTTCCTAGTCTTTTTTTATTTAAAAAACTATCTACTTACTATAGAGTAAAGGTAAAACATAATATCTCATTTTAAGAGATAATTCAATTTTCCAGACTAGCATACTTTTCCATTTGGAAGTACTTTGATTTATTTTAGAGAGGTGCTAATGAAAAGCTAAATCATGTTAAGTATACTAGGAAAGCTTTTTCTTTTAAAGGAATCCTAATGTGAATCTTTTATAAAGCCAAATATTCTCTTGTATTAATGAATCATCACCTCCAATTAACTGATTTTTGATCTTTCCTCCTTTCACAGCTAATTTCTTAGAAAAAGATGTCACCATTCCCTGCCACTATTTTATGACTTTCTACTTGCCTTTTTCTTTTCTTTATTTATGAATTTTGCTTTTATATCACATGTTTCCCACTATATCCCTCCCCCTTCTTTTATTGAGCAAGTCTTTAATTGTAACAAATTTAAATTAAAATGAAGTTCAGCAAAACCAGGCAATGCATAGACTGTGTCTGACAGCATGTGCGGCATTCCATGCCCACGCTCCCTCACCTCTTCAGTGAAAGGAGATGAATTTTCTGATTTCTTCAATGGAGCCAACCTTGAACATTTTAATTATTTAATGTTCAGTTTCAGTCTATTGTTCTTTCCATTTATAGTGATGCTTAATTTCAGTCCATTGTTCATTGATTTATACTGATCACTTTCAGCCCATTGTTCTTTTCATTTACACTGGGTAGC